ATTGTTTTATAATACTTCTATGCCCATAGTTACCCAAGAGTAATACTATAATATTGTCTTTTAAAAATTTTTTTTAGTTGTAGATGGACACAATACTTTTCATTTTATGAATTTATTTTTATGTGGTGCTGAGGATTGAACCCAGGGTCTCGCTCGTGCTAAATGACAGCTCTATCACTGAGCTATGGCCCAAGCCCTAGTATTATCTTTATTTTTTATTTCTCCTCTAACCTCTACCTTCTAGCTGGTCCAGCTGTAAAGTCCAGACCTGCCTCTACAGTTTCTTTCACAGCTCATTTGCACTAGCTGTTATTTATCCTAGTATGTTTAAGACCCTAAAAGCTTCATTTGTTAAGTTAAAGTTGTGTGTTTTTAAAAATGAGATAAATGGCATTTGAATGAACACCCTGTCCCATAATCTTAGGAAACTTCCCACACATCACCCCTGGTCATGACCTGCTGATCAGTTTCAATTAGCTAAATCTTGATGTAGTAATGGTTTTCTGAATAAAACATAATTTCCCCAGCTTGCCATTCAGAGGCCTTGGTTAAAGGACCTTTTAGCTACTTACCAGTATGACCTCTCATTTTTCCCTTTCATATGCCCACAACTTATGCCACACTGAATTAGAATTTGCTTCTTTAGGGACTATGCCATACCTGCCTCTAAAACTGTACTTTAGAAACACTGACTTTACCATCTCTGTATATTGAAATCCTAATGGGTAGATGTGGTTCCCTCCATGAAGCCTTCCTTCCTGCCTCTCACCCTTCCTTTAGGCCTTCCTTTAAGCCCCATGTCTTTTTCATCACCACTGTCTTGGCAACCACTAATCTAAAAGAGGAATTGACATACAGTCATTTGGAAAGTCTACAAGAAGGAAAGGGCTTACAGGGGTCATGAGAGTTCCTGCAGAGTGTATGGAAAGTTTTCTCATGGGTTTGGGAATACATGAGAACACAAAAAAACATCAAAACCCCTTTAAAATAAACCCCACATCATGCTGTTTTGCTCTATGGAGCCACTCTTAAGCCATCTTTATAATAATAAAAGTACCAGAGGTATAGTAATAACTGATGTTTAACAGGTAACTGATGTTTAACAGACTAATACTGTGGAGTTTCTACTTGCCACTAAATAATGTTTGCAAAGTCTATCTAAGATGAAAGACATTTTATAGTTTTAAAATTGAGTAAGATCCATTTTTTTTTTCTCTATTCAGCAGTAAATCCTCCAAGACAAAGCCCCCATCAAAGTGGATGAAAAGGCATTTTAGAATCTAATGAGGTGTGGATGTTGGGTCTCTAGATTGTCCTGAGGCCAGGCAGTTTAGATCTGGAGCAGACCAAGGCAAAGTGCCAAGTCCAAAACTTGGAAAGGGAGGTGTATAGGGTGTGAGGAAACTCCACCCAATTGCCTTTAAATAGGAAGGAGCTAGAAGCATCAGGATTGTTTTTCCTTCTAGATTCACTAAAGGAAAATCTGACACCAGATTCTGTTCTTAGGAATTTCAAAAGGAGTAGAGAATTCTTTGAGCTCAGTTATCATCTAACTAGAAACTAATTTGAAATTTGGCTGAGTGCTTATGCTTGTGGTTTCAGGGGTGGGGAAAGCATCCAAAGAGATACTCTGGAGCTGTGTTTCTCTTTTAAAAAGTTTACACACAGCATGTGAAATGAACAGATGCTTTTTTTGTTGTAACTATCAGGGCAACAAGAGGCCGAAAGCTGTAAAGGTATTTATTTCAGTCACTGAGATACCTATTGGCAGAGTTCCACATTCCAAAACTAAGGAGAAACTTATAAACAGATAAAAAAACAAGATGGACCTAAAGGAAAGAGACCTTGTGCTTCCTCTCTTGATTTCTTTCTGAACACATACTGATGATTAAAAAAACAACAACAAAACAAGCACTTAGAAAGCATTCTTTGTCTTTGGGAGGAGGAAGCATTGAGATACACACACACACACACACACACACACACACACACACACATCCATCTTTCTCTTTTCAACAGCCTGAGTTTAAACTTTGGGGAAGTTCTTCTCTTTTCCTCTAATGCTATGAATTAAACTTAGGGGTAAGCTACTACATTCTCATCCCTTTTTATTTTTATTTTGAGCAAGATCTAACTAAGTTGCCAAGGTGCCCTTAAACTTGCAATTCTCTTGCCTCAGCCTCCCAAGTAGCTGGGATTACAGGCATGTGTCATTGTGTCAAGTTCTCTTAATATTTTCTTAGCACCTTAATTAGAGTATGACTACAGCTGATAATTTGAATCTCAATTTCAATAGTTGTTGGAATGCCTCATTTATTTATTTGTATGGAACATTGATGAGATGGGCAGAATACAGTAGATCTAAGTATGGGGAGGGATTAATTAAGAAAAGGCTGAATTGATTGGCACCTGACTTGGTAAGGAAACAGGAAAGGAATTTCTGGCCATGAAGTTTGTGATTCCACTCGAGATCATTCTTTATAACAGAATAATCACCCGCCCTTAGTCCAGAGCCAGAATTCCTTAGATTCTTCCAACCAGAGGAGCCCTGGCATGCTAGTCTGTTATGATATCTGAACACTTAAGTGAATGTATTTGGCCAGAGATTTGCTAGTGAAATTGATCTTGCTTTCCCTGGGTTTTTCCAGTTGTGTTGAATAATTAAAAGAAAATTAAAACCCAGATTCCCAAATCAAAGTATGATTGTGAGCATATGTATGTGCATGTGTGTATATGAATTTAAATATATTTTTGTATCTTTTCCTTTATTTTGTTGGGGGATGTCAAGAAACTAAAAATAAAATTAGGAATGGAAATGAGGTTTTTGGTTTCAATATATTCATAAATTAAATAAATT